GTTTAGAAAGGTGAGGTGGAACTTGACCGGTGTATAAAATCTTGAATGGTGTTGATGAGGTGGATATAGAAGGGATATTTCCTATTGTGCTGAGTTCAGAACTGGGGTGGGGTGCTGTTTAAGAATCTGGGGTTACTGTTTTAGGACAGAGGGCGTGCAACTTTGGAACTCCTTAGAAGGTGGTACAGCTGGGAATCACTGAATATTTTTAAATTGGAGGTAGATAGATTTTTGCTAGACAAGGAAATTCAGGGTCATAGCGGGTAGATGGCAACGTGAAATTCAAAACATAAATCAACCTTGACCTTATTGAATGTCAATTCAGGTGAGAGAGGCCAAATGGCCTATTTCTATTTATTATGTTCATATTGGATCGTACAAAACTCTGATGGGCTTTGACAGGATGGATGTTGAGTGAATGATTCCCTTCACTGGAAAATCTAAAGCTAGGAGGCATAATTTAAAAATAGGAGGACCTCATTTAAGAATGTGATCAGGAGGATCAATCGTCTTGAAATTCTCTTTCACAAAGAACAGTGGAAATTGAGTCAGTGAATATATTCAAGGTTGTGTTTGGCAAATTACTGATCAGCAAGGAAATCAAGCGGAGTTAAGGCCATAATCAGATCAGCCATGATCTTACTGAATGACTGAACTCAATGTGCTGAATGGCCTTATCCTGTTCTTAAGTATACATATAATTAGAAAACCACCTGCAATGACTTCTCTTCCCCGCTCCAGCAATGTGATTTCTCATGTCCCCCAAGAATCTGTCTTTTGCGCATCTTGTTTCTCATCTAGCTGTGCCATTCAAATACAGAATCCGAAATACATCACTTTCCACATGTACACTGATGGCTGTATGTCACCTGACCTCTCCACTGCTTCTAATTTGTCAAGCCATCATCCAGTATACAGCAGAACATCCATCAACCTAACATTGGGAAGAAAGAAGTCACAAAGTCTTGGCCATAAACTGTTTGCTGACCATCAACTCCACCCCTGTCCTTGGAAACTGTCTTTCACCTGTTTATAAGGTTGGTGGCATAGTTGCTATTCCAAGATGATATTGCAACCATATACCTATGCCATAACTTGGACTGTCTACTTCCACCTCCATAATATCATCCAGCTCTGATCCACTTCAGCTCATCTGCTGCTGCAACCCTCACCCATGGATGTAATGGCCTCCAGATTTGAGTATTCCAATCAACTCCCAGATGGTCTGCCATTTTCTACTTTCCACAAACTTAAGGTCATCCAATCCTGTTACCCATTCACCTATCACCTTCATGTTCAGTGACCTACATTGGCTCCTAGTCAAGAATTGCCTCAATTACAAATTTCTGATCTTTAGTTTCCAATTTTTATGAAGGCCTCACCTCTCCCCCAGTCCCACAGCCTTCCAAGATTTGTGATCTTCTCTAAGGCCAGACTCCTGAACATTCCCAATCTTAAAAACTCCAATGCTTTCAGCAACCAAATCCCCAAGATCTGGAATTTCCTCCAAAATCATCTCAGCCTTGCTTTCCCCCTTTAATATAATACTTAAAAACTACCTTCTTGAACAAAGTTTTTGACCATGTGCTATAATCGCTGTCGCCCAATGAAATTTTAAAATAAAATTTATGTAACAAAATTGAAAAATTACATCCTTAAAGTTATTCAAGTATTATGTTGCCTCAGCAAGTACCTTGTTGCCGGCTCCTCCAACCCTTATTACTTCATCAGCATTCATCGCACAGATGCAGTCATTTACCAGCCTACTGCTGTGGGAACGAGTCGTAGTGATGATATGTTTCCCTTCTGGCACTTCCTTCAATTGAATTCCAAACACTCCAAGATTCAGAATGCCCCAAATGGTCCGACCAAGAACAGCACCAGCTCCAGCCTGAAATAAAATTATGCTTTCAAAAGTAATACATTAATACAAAATGAGTATTTTTCTTCTGGCATGTAACTTGCTTTCTGACATTAATTTTGACTCACTTCATATTCAACACAGTAAATGGTTAGAATCTGAGGCACTCAAACAGCTATTTTCTTCAGTGTTTTTCTTGAACCAGTATGTTCTGAAAAGAAAGCTGTAGTGGACAATAATTGCTTCAAAAAGACCCAAGTAAACTTTACTCCTTCGTACTTGAAGAAGCAAAAAATGACAGTCACTACTTGTGTGATACACACAATAGCACACTTTTAGGTGTGTCAAAGACTGAACATGATTTTTGATAATGCTTTGCCACTTCTTAGTATCAACATCTGAAAAACAAAAAAGGCGTCTTGGGCTTCCACCAATAGAAAGAAGATGCTTTAAATCAGACTTGGACCACTGGTTCTTTATTTCCCTCCATTCATCAGCACAGCTAGGACTAGCAGCATAAGTCAGCTGTAAAATTAAGGTGATGCTTCAATTGTACGGAGAAGGTGATGGAAACTCTCAACATCAGTGAGCATCCGTGCAGAGAGAATCAAAGTTAATGGTTCAACTCGAACTTTCAAAATGAGTTTGTTGTGAAACTATCTCAGCAACTTTAATAATTTATGAGCAGCTATGTTCAAGTGAAAAGATTGAGTGAATGGCAGCAGCAAAATATGGTGGGAGACACGCTAGCAGATATTGATGCTGGTAAGTCACTAATTATGATGGAAAAAGAAGAGAGTATCAATTGCATTCAATCACATTTCTCTATTATTGAGATTATCAGTTTGCTAGGCAAGAGCTTTGAAAAAAATGTTAACTTTTTAAAAACCGTACCTGATAATTGTAATATGGCTGATTGATTACACCAGCTATTGCTTTACCGTCATAAGCAATTCCAATAAGCACAGTCACATGATCCAAGAGACCTGTGAATCAAAACATTCAAATTAATTTAAGCCTAAATCAAAGGCAAACTCAGTTGCTTGACGCAAGAAATACATGTCAGCCTAGAATCCTGGAACTTTCATCATGAAAGAAAATAGAATTGGTTTATTTCCTTTAAAATAATTCAAGTGGTAACTTGAAACAAAAATCAAACTCAAAATGCATTTCAGCAAATCTGATTTAATCAAAGAAAATATGAACTATTTTTGATATAAGCAAAGGAATATCCTGATAGCTAAGACTGCTAACCTTTCTCCACCTCAAACAGGAGAATGAACCATTTGACACTTGCATTCAACATATATTATACAAGTGGTAGCAGAAACACAACGATATTTTATGGCACTCAAAGCCAAAACTTTCCCTCAGGTACAGTGTAGTCTGGATGAAACACTCAAGAGTTCATTAACTTATGATTACCCAATTCAAGTGGTTTAGAGTCTAATAATTCCCTTGGTTTTACATTTCTCTTTGTGTTTCGTAACATCACGAAAAATATAAAAGATGAACCCAGATGATGCTAAAACAATCAAATGCTTACCTTCGGTGTATTCCTTTGTGCCATCAAGTGGATCGACCCAAACCACAATCTGAGAAAATGTATTGAATTTTTCTATAAGATAATCATTCTTCTGGATACAAAATTACACAAACTAACAAGGCTGTTACTTCTATTTTTTCAGTGCTGTAGACACACATAAATTGTACAAGTACATGATAATACTGATTTCTGCTCTGGGAACAGATAATGCTCAATCACACTGTAATCACTTTCTGCCACTGCATGACATTCCACCTATGAGGCCTGCCCAATTTTCATTTTCACCTTATACACAATGAACAAAAGAACATCCTCACTGATAACTCTACTCCACACTCATTTGCAGAACAGAGCAGAGAATTCCAGACACAAGTTAAAATCTGGCTGAGTACCACCAGATTTCATGGAAGTGACCCCAGCAGAGGAATTATTAGGGTTGGGAACACCATCAAAGCAGAGTAGGGCAACTGATTTCATTTATACTCACTTATCTCCCAAAACCACTTCAGCTTATTTCAACATAATCAATAGTAAAGCTAAATGTTTCCACGTCCTTGCCAAAATTACTACATCTGTGCAGGAGTCGGCACATTGAGTAGGTATGTTAACCAAATAGATTAACTATCCTTCGGCAAGTCTGACAGCAAGAGCAAACGTAATAGAAACAGAGGGAAATATGTCCTGAAGGCACCATCCTCGGTTTCTCCTCAGTGGAACAAGGATGTACAAATCCACGGTCCATCCACAAGAAGTGGAATACATGAGATACAGAAACAATCATGTGCAGTGTTGAAATTCTGGTCCAAGGATAGAAGAATCCCATTCCTTCATCTATGGAATCCTCAACCCCACAATCTACCCTGGAGTGTGTTGTCACCACCAGGGATATTGCAACAGGGTCCTCACTGCAAATGGCTGGTATAAATGATTTAACAAATGAAACAATCAGAGATTCCGATTTTACTTTCATGTATTACTTTCCGAGTGTTAGAATTTTCTATTTGGGGCATATGAGATCACATTTTTCCCTTCCTTTGAAGCCGCCTGCCTTGGATCTTCAATCACAATGCTCCTCAGAGCAGAGGCAAACAAACTACCAATGTCACTCCACAGCCACCTTTACAGGAATCTTTCAAACTGGAAACAAGGCTTAATTCCTCTACCAGTTTTCAAAAACTAGATCTACATACCGTGTCCAGAAATTAAAACTGAGTTTTAAACAGAGAGTCTTTCTGCTTATATACCATTCACATTTTGTTAAATTTGTTACATTTCACCTCATCTTCCTTGATGTGGCTATATTGAGTTGGACAGGAGTACTTCAATACATCTTCAGATTGACCAGCTTCAATTAAACTTTCATCTATATCTTGGGATGGCAATTCCTAAAATAAAAATAATGGAATTAACAAAAATATCCCTTCAAGAAATTTGCACCATCATTCATTTGCATGGATACCAGTGTCACTGGTAATGGACCAAAGATGCAGAGGCTTAGAAGCCCATACTTAATGTTAGTGAAAGCACACTTGAAGTTTAGAGTTCTGTTCAAAGAATGTTCATCAGATTTCTTTGTGGGATGAAAGGATTGCTTGTAAGTGCAGTTGAGATTTCAATTCATCAGAGTTCAGAAGAATGAGAAATGACCTTACTAAAACATACAAGATTCTGATGGGACATGAAAAGTGAGTTGCTGAAAGGATATTTCCTCTGTAAGGGGTATCTAACACTAGAGTGCATCACTTCAAAATAAGAGTCACTCATTTAAAATGGAGAAGAGATTCCTTCCCTCAGAGGGTGCGGAATCTTTGGATTCCTCTACTCTAAAGAGTTGTGGAGGGTGGATCATCGAATATATTGAAGATGGTGTTACATATTTTGTTTGAACAACAGGGCATTCAAGTATTATGGGAAACAAAGTGGAATTGAAGCCAAGATTAAATCAACCATGATCATACTGAACGACTGAGCAAGCATGAGCAGTCATATGACTTCTCATGCTCCTATTTCTCACTCCGTACCTTTCTCCCATTGATCTTGTATGAATATATCTCATGGAAAAGATGTGCAAGAGAATTGTCATGAAGACAAATGAAAGGTCAAGGATATCTAGGTAACCTCTTAAAAAATGTTACTTAAAAGAAAGGCAATTAATATGCCAGCTTTTCTTATCAAAGCATGTCACAAATTGGGACAGGAAACTATACTAAAAGGAAATCCATAGAACAGATAAAATTGAATTAAATATTTAGCAATATTGTAATTCCGTACCTCCTCTCCAATTATAGTTAGTTTGGGGAATTTGCGGGCCAGTGACGAGCAGATGCTTATCTGCACCAATCGATCAGCCTTTGTTTGTAGATCATTGGCTCCAGTCTATGTTAGAAATATGAAAAAAATGAAAATATAAACAAATGTCCAAGCAGAGTTCAGAAGAGTCAGACTGAACTTGAAACATTAATTCTGTTTCTCTTTTCACAGATGCTGCCAGACTTGCTGAGTTTCTCCAGCATTTTCTGTGTTACTTACTTGTATTACATTCCACGACAGACCAGAAAGCTGTTTACGACACGATTGACGGTCTATGCCATGTTACTATATGTAAGTGTTATTAACTTGAACCAAAGAAACTAAACTGAACTAGTCAAATTTTCATAACACTTACCTCCCCTCTCCCCCTACAATTCTTTCCCCATCACCCTGCATTTTTCCTTTGTTATATTCTATTTTGAAAGCTCACATGGGATCCACTTCTACCAACCTGGTTCTTCTGCCAATTATTTTAAATCCATGCCTGCCAGTTGACACAGTTTCTTCTTACTTTAGCAAAACTTTGATAAATCATTAGTGAGATCTCAGTTAGAACAACGTCTCCAGCACTGGAGTGGCAAACACTCAGAAGGATGTCAAAGCCTCGGAAAAGGTGCAGAGTAATATTACAAAAATTATGCAACAACAGGAAGGACTATGTTTATGTTGATAGAAAACAGATAATGTGGAACAGAGGTTTAAAGGAAGATTTTTCAATAGATGTTTCAAATTATTCCAATATACAGGGGGCTGTTGTGGTGCAGCGGTTATGTTCCTACCTCTGGACTAAGAGACCCAGGTTTAAGTCATGTGCTGTAGAGCTATGTGATAGCAACTCTGAACAGGTTAATTAGAAAATAGAAAAAACCATGTGTACACTTATGTTTGCAGCACCAAAGGAGGTCAACTGTTATTATTTTTAAAATTTAGTTAGAGGATTCTTTTCCGGAAATGATAACAAATTAAATTGTTACCAATATCTCTCATGTGAACTACTTTGATGTTACTGTAAGCTATGGCCTTGATTTGACCCTATGGATCAAGATTTGAAGTCAGTCTCCCTCTGGCAAGAATCTTCATTCTCCAAATGGCTATTTTCCAAAAACTGCAGATGACCTGCAGAAAACATCTGTAAATCTCTCATGAGAGATGATATGCAGACATGAAAGACACATGTAGAATCTTGCCCGATTAGCCACACTGCAAACTGGGTGTCATTCATTACAGGGTGCATTTTCAATTACCAAAAAGCTTTATTCAACATGAAGAACTGCAAGCACCAGACACATATTGCTACAAAAGAAAAATAAGATTTTGAAAAATACTCTCCAATTCATTCACCTGGAAGCGATTTTCCAAAGTGACAAGTGTGACACGTTTGAAACAGGAACAAAAACAAAGTTGCTGGAAAAGCTCAGCAGGTCTGGCAGCATCTGTGAAGGATAAAAAAGTTAACGTTTCAGGCCCGCTGACCCTTCCTCAGAACTGAAACAGCCTTGGCTGCTACATTTACACAGAGTAATAAAACAAAAAGTGCCAAGAAAATCAATCCAATGACAGACATTATGCAAATATTGTGTAATTCTATACTTTGTTGTTGGACAACTGTGCAAAGATTTATAAATTACTATGAATTTAAGATATGTCATACATTACGAAGTACAGCATGTCACTGTACAAAAAAAAGTCAAAGATTTGGGTATGCATTTTTATGGCAGTTGTAGAACTGACGGGCAGCGTTACCTAATGGATATCTCCACAAGCTAGACAATTCAAAACATTTTAGAAATAATCTTACAAGCCAGAAGGTCCCAGGTATGGACTCCTTTGATTGCACCAAGTTAGCTGATCTCAGTCAGGGCAGCATCTCAGGAGCTACAACTGGACTCAGCACTCATTGCACGAAAAATCAAAGTCTGTGGACATCAGGTAGGAAGGCTGGGGTCCTCCATGGTTGGCTAACCTCCTTCCACCCACAGTTCAGGCTCACGCAGAAATGACCACTTGGCAGAAAAACACAAGGGCCATCAGTGCCTCTGGAACTGTATCTTAAAAGAAGTGAATGCCTTCAGGAAAACAAAACACAATTCAAAAATAAATGCAGAGACCAAGGCAATTATGCACTCGTGTTCTCCCCCCAACCCCCACCAAGATCTTCTCCATTAATCAGCAAAACACAAGGTGATTACAGTAATTCACTCCAGAATGCTTGCCATTACAGATATCTTCCACTACAAGAAATTTCACAGCAAGTACTGTTGCATACCAAAAGTCAGTGCAAGGGTCAACTTGGAAAAAAGGGCAAGTTTTTTTTAATCCTGTTATCTGTTAGAAAACCAAGATGCATCAAATCAAGGGCGATCAGTTGCAATTAGCCACCACTCAACACTGCTTCACTTGTTTTGCTACGAACCAGTTAAGGTTTTTTTTAAACACAGATGACAAAGCGAGAGGCTGCACATGGAATCGTGCTGCCCTTTTCAAATAAATTAAGGTGTGAAGTGTAAGTCAGGGGTTAACGTAAATGCAAATTAGAGTTAACGCCACTCCAGACACATAATAAATATCTGATGTGATAACAACAAGCATGGGTTTAACACAGATTTTAAAGGTGACTGTACAAAGTGCAACGTAGAGGGGAGAGAAAAAAGCAAAAAACCGACCCATTGCGGACACAGGATGTGCTTACAACTCAATTTTGTGCAAAGTTGGTGCTGAAATCTGTATTGCCCTGTAATCAACAGTTGCTGATAATGGGACATTTCTCCCTTGCACAGTAGCAGGAAGTTCGATCGAACAAGGAGAACGGCACAGTCCGGGCCTGTCCTTGCACAAACCCACCTTCTCCACAATGCCCAGGTCTCCTCCACTCATCACCTGCTGAACTATGGTCTGCGCCTTCTCCGCAATGGAAAAGGTCGACGCCATAAGCCGCATCAAAAAAGCCGGACTCGCAGACGACATGCTTCGCAACACAGCAACGAAAAAATAATTGCACAAAAGGGCGGGGGGGGGGGGGAATACCACCCAGCGGCTAAAAGAAGAACAAGGCAACGACTGAGCGTAGAGTCGAGACGCCTGCCACTCCAAAGCGGCGCGCATGCCCTTAGATAACCAGCAACCACTCATTGACAACCCTCCTGGAGCCCGAACCAAAACTGAAGCCACCCCTTCTCACTGTTTGCAAAATGCAACTGCGGGGTGATCCAAACACGAGAAATTGTTTTGCTTTAACGTCACCAGAACATTGTGTCCTCTTTCTTGCTCGTCTATCATTATTGCCCATTATAACACCCTAAGACAATTTACAAATAGCATACAATGGGGTGATCTGTTGCAGCAAAAGTTTCTTTGGAATGCGAAAGTGTGATGGTTTATACATTAAAAAAACACACGCACAAGCACTTCTCTTGCCCTGCCCGTAATCCAAATCAGTATGGAATTCGAGACAACAAGGTGCAGGGCTGGATGAACACAGCAGGCCAAGCAGCATCACAGGAGCAGAGAGGCTGACGTTTCGGGCCCAGACCCTTCATCAGAAAAGGGGGAGGGGAAGGGGGTTTTGAAATAAATAGGGAGAGAGTGGGAGGCGGATAGAAGAGGGATAGAGGAGAGGATAGGTGGAGAGGAAACAAACAGGTCGAAGAGGCGGGGATGGGGCCAGGAAAGGTGAGTGTAGGTAGGGAGTTAGGAAGGGGATAGGTCAGTCCAGGGAGGACGGACAGGTCAAGGGGGCGGGATGAGATTGGTCGGTAGGAGATGGAGGCGCGGCTTGAGGTGGGAGGAGGGGATAGGTGGGAGGAAGAACAGGTTAGGGAGGCAGGGACGAGCTGGACTGGTTTTGGGATGCGGTGGGGGGAGGGGAGATTTTGAAACTTGTGAAATCCACATTGATACCATTGGGCTGCAGGGTTCCTAAGCGGAATATGAGTTGCTGTTCCTGCAACCTTCGGGTGGCATCGTTGTGGCACTGCAGGAGGCCCAGGATGGACATGTCGTCTGAGGAATGGGAGGGGGAGTTGAAATGCTTCGCGACTGGGAGGTGCAGTTGTTTGTTGCGAACCGAGCGTAGGTGTTCTGCAAAGCGGTCCCCGAGTCTCCGCTTGGTTTCCCCGATGTAGAGGAAGCCACACCGGGTACAGCGGATGCAGTATACCACATTGGCAGAATGGTATCAATGTATGCTACAAGCAACTGTCCCACAAACAGGACACCAAATATGCGGAAACTTATACATATTGCGTCATCAAGAATTCTCACTTTTGAGTCGGAAGGAATGTCTTATCTCAGTCTTATTTAAAGAGGTTAAAGAGCACAAGCCAAGGATCTCCTTTGAACAGTTATATCCTAAATTAAAGGGTTCCACAAGCTGAATACCGAATGCAGCATCATACTGAACAAATATACCAAACACCCTGGACGATTCCACATTCCATTCTGTGAAGCAAATTGCTAAGTATCTTACAGGAACCAGGGATTTCTCAATATCCATTGGTATGGTGTTGAGGGTTGGCCACACCAGAGGTTGGCTATGGAAACATATTTTGAGCACCGACTGTAGTTTACAATTGTGGATGATATGATGATGAATGACTGGTCATTCCAGTTTCATTTCAGGAAGGTGTCTCAGGGAAGTTGCAACAGGCATACTTGAGAATCACCAAGTGCAGAGTTCGAAATGGCCAATGGTGCAATTTATTTGGATCTCCAAGAACTTTGAAAATCTCGTGGTTGATTGTGAGACCTCTACCATTCACAGACCAGAGTGATGCAAAGTGTTAATACCCAACACATTCCCCACCAGACTGTGGGAATGTGGGCACAGATCTACCAGTTTTCAATGTAAGGTCGAATGGCATTTGCATTGATTATTTCTCCTAATGGATAGAGGTTAAAAAATTGCATGCTACAACAATTGATGCCGTTTCTGAGTCTTACATCAGATATTTGCAATGCGTAATATTCCTGATGCCGTAATTTTGGACAGTGGGACAAATGTTGCCTTGCCCATACTTGAATTGTTGCCACAAGAGTTCATTGGATCTGAAGTAAATACTAAGGACAAACAGGACAACTTTTTTTTTGTATAGCATCACACCGACAACTCTGCTGGTCTGTCCAGGAATAGGACATATCCCAGGGATGGGGATGGTACTGTCTGTGATATGGTCTCAAAGATATGATTCCATGAGGATTACTATGTTAAGCTGGTGAGACAGCTCTCCCAAATTTGACACAAGTCCCACATGTTAGCAAGAAGGACTCTGGATCAATGACAGGCCTGCGTGTGCCATTGTGATTTCTGGTACCTTTATTGATGCTAGGTGATCTGTGTGGTTGCATTCCTTTCTGAGAGCTTATAGGGTTAAATAAATCTGAGCGCTCACTAGGCCAATTCAGTTAGCATTTAGGAGTCATCCACATTGCTGATGCCCTGGAATATTTAGTTCCAGGTCACATGAATCTACATTTTAGCATTAGTTACTAGATCAGGCCTATTTATCTCTACTTGTGCGACTTGTTCACCTATCTTTTCACTAAGCTTTTCAGCATTTGATGCGTTAGTGTTTATCTTAAGGGAACTGAAATATGAAGAGAAGTTGAATTTCAGTTGGATGTAGCATTGGTTAGAATCCATGTGTGGTACCAAATTCATTTTATTTGTTGTACTTTAAAGGGCATATTTGCTTTGCAGGATATACTTTGTAGATTCCCCAGAATTATAGCAGGATTTAGAGTTCAATAAGAGGACGCATTGCACAAACATCTCTTGGGTGATTTGGACGGCGGGGGATTATTTAAAGAAGTTTTTTTCTAAATGTGAACAAAATCATCAGGGTACATGCAGGTAAATCATTTTGTCTGGTGGGTAAATCAAGAACAGGCGATAACAATCTTAAAATTAGGCCTAGATCATTTAGAAATGAATTATAGAAGCAGTTACACAAGAAGGTTGTGGAAGCTGGGTCAATTTGAAGTCTAAGATCAACAGATTTCTTTTTATAAGGGCATCAAGGGAGGCAGTCAAAGAGGTATTATGAACCAGGTATGATCTAACATAATGGTAGAACATACTTGAGGAGCTGAATAATCTATTTTTACTTCCATAAATAATTGAGCCACCAGGAAAATCTTTATGACCCATCAAATAGAAAGTGTTTAATTAAAATCACTTTTCTGTATCTGGTATTGTTGCCAATTAATCATGTAGGGTTGACTTGAAAAATCCACGAAATTTGAAAAGATTTATCATCTTGACCAAGTAAAAGATTTACAAGAATGTTGCCATGGTTGGAGGGTTTGAGCTACAAGAAGTGGCTAAATAGGCTGGGGCTATTTTCCCTGGAGCATCAAAGGCTGAGGCATGACCTTACAGAGGTTTATAAAACCATGAGGGGCATGAATAGGGTAAACAGACAAAGTCTTTTGTCTCGAGTGGGGGAGTCCAAAACTAGAGGACATAGGTTTAAGGTGAGAGGGGAAAGATTTAAAAGGGACCCAAAGGGCAACTTTTTCACACAGAGGGTGGTGTGTGTATGGAATGAGCTGCCAGAGGAAGTGGTGGAACATGGTACAATTAAACATTTAAAAGTCATCTGGATGGGTATATGAATAGGAAGGGTATAGAGAGATATGGGCCAAATGCTCCAAATGGGACTAGATTTATCTAGGATATCTGGTCGGCACAGATGAGTTGGATGGAAGGGCCTGTTTACATGCTGTATATTATTGACTCTGTCTGGATGCTACTTTCTAAGAGAAACATCAAGGACATCATTCTCAATGTACATGAATTAGATTAAAAAATATCAGACAAAAGGGAAAAGTTGTTTGAAAGACAATTGCAATATTTAATTGAGTCATGAAGAGTTTGTTCATTTTCCATGGAAAGGAAATGCCAGGGGAACATGGCAATTTAGATCATAGCCTACACTGTGGAAACAGGCCCTTCAGCCCAACAAGTCCACAGCAAACCTCAGAACTTCCCACTCAGACCCCATCCCCCTATAACCCACCTAATCTACACATCCCTGACCACTCTGGGCAATTTAGCATGGCCAATCCATTTAGCCTACACATCTTTGGACTGTGGGAGGAAACCAGAGCAAACCCACGCAGACATGGGAAGAATGTGTAAACTCCACAGGACCCTGGTGCTGTGAGGCAGCAGTGCTAACCACTGAGCCACCATGCCATGATAGATGAAGTGAATAAACACATCAAGGATACAGCCAGAGATTGTGGCTCAAAGTTTTGCTTTAATTATAACCTCTGTAAAGAAACAAGGGGCTACATAAAATCAAGTTGTTGCTGGGTTTTGGAATTATATTTGGTTTTTTTTTGTTAAGAGCTCCATCATATTAATTACAAACAAATTAAAATTTATATTAAAAATGTTAATCTGTTGGAAAAAAAACAACTTTTATATCAAGACTTAATTTTTAAGAGTTTACTCCTGCAGAGCAGCCAACTCTTGTGAAGTAAAATCAGGGAAACTTCAACTATGGGACTGGGCCGGAGGGTTTTGCTGATGATAAGTGAGTGGGTGCTGGTGGTGGAGCTGGGGTAGAATTTCTAGAGACTACGACAGCAGATGGAGGAAGCAATGGTGGCATGAGTTAAAAGAACCAAAACTTGAAACTTATCTTGTGAACTCACATCTACTACGTTTCAGCTGACCCACTCAGTCCTACCCAAATCATCCCTCTGAGTCTCCCGATTCACAGGCTGTTCTGGAAATACGAGACAAAAGGCACGCCACACAGGACAGTCAAAAATAACAGGAAATATATGAAAATAATGGACAATCGATCACCCTGAATTTCTTCTGATTTATGAGATGGCGCATTTGGCATATTCCTTTTTCTTGGAGCTGACCAGACAATATTGTCTAATCTGTATTCCCGGTAATAGACATGCCCTGAATGAAACAAAAATAGAAATTGCTGAAAAAGCTCAGCACGTCTGGCAGCATCTGTGGAGAGAAATTTGAGTTAATGTTTCGGGTCGAGTGACCCTTCCTTAGAACTGATGGTAGCTAGGAAAATGTTGGTTTAAATGCAGAAGATAGGGTGGGCGGCATGGCGGGGTAAGGAGTAAACGATAGGTGGGGATAGAGCCCAAAGAGAACAATTGGACAGACAAAGGAATTGAAAATGGCCTGGCTGGGAGGGTGAATAGCTATTAATGGGGACTGTTAATGGCTAATAATCAGTTGTGTGCAACAGCAGACTATGTGATAATAAGGCCTGGTGTGTGGACGTTAGGGTGAGGACATGGGACAGTTCAAGCCCTAAAATTATTGAACTTGATATTGAGTCCAGAAGGCAGCCGGGTCCCCAAGTGAAAAATGAGCTGTTGTTCTTCCAGCATGCACTGAGGTTGGCTGGAACACTGCAGCAAGCCTGAGACAGATGTTGACCAGGGAACAAGAGGGTGTGTTGAAGTGACATGTAACTGGAAGCTCAGGGTCTTTTTTGTAGACAGAATGTAGGTGTTCTACAAAGTGGTCACTCAGGCTAAGCTGCGTTTCCCCAATGTAGAGCAGACCACAATGTGAGCAGCGAATGCAGTAGACTAGATTCAGTGAAGTGCAGGTGAAGTGTTGCTTCAGCTGGAAGGTGTGTTTAGGTCCTTGAATACTGAGGAGGGAGGAAGTAAATGGACAGGTGTTACACCTTCTACAATTTCTGTTTCTGTTTCTGATTTACAGCATCTGCAGTTCTTTTGGTTTTTATGCTTTGAATGAACCTGAGATAAAGTTGATGATTAAAATCGCTGCACTGGTTCGAGAAAGTTTCTGACATTCTGCCTCTGTAGACTGGACATTTTTGGTTTAAAGCTCCATGTGCTGAGACACGGTTCAAAATAAAGACAGTCACATATTTTTCTGTTGGTTTGCAGTTGAAAGCTTTTTCTTGTGTGTGTGTCCTGAACTGATAGCTGTTAGATACTCAGCTGAGCAATAGAGGGGGCTGCTGAGCGCCCTGGGAAGGGGGAAAGGCTGCGGCTTTTGGGACGCGCGTTCTGGGCCTCGGCGGCCGCCGTTGCCGGTGGTGTGGTAGCGGCTGGCCGTACCCTCCGCCATGATCGTGGTGCTCCGAGTCCGCCGTGGCTCCTCGCTGCCCGGGAAACTGCGGGATGCCGTCGCCGCCCGGTACCGGCGGTCGGTCGCCACCGGGAATTCGAGCACTGGCACGGGGAAGAACAAATACCGGGAAACGGTGCTGCTGCCCCGCACCGACTTCCCCATGAGACCGAGCGGCCAGGAGCTGCTGGAAAAAGAGCTGCAGATCCAGAGGGTACGGGGTGGTGGGGTCAGGGGGGACAGTGT